CCCCCCCCCCTACTTACACCGGCTTTAGCGTAATCTCTGTCCTTGCGGAAGACGTCAAAGAGGGCCGGATCAAAGAATTCTGCGTCAAAAAAGTTTGAATGGAGCCAAGATTAAGTTAATGCGAAGCAGTCGTATTCCAATTGCGAGCTTAAAATGCGGACGGATTCAGATTTGGTTCTGAGTCCAGACGTATTTTGATAGTAGACTTTAATTTTACGGCTATTTGAGATAGATTGCGTTTTTATTTCTTTTGCAGCACTTGAGGATCCTTTTGAAAAAAAACAAAAGGCCTGACGTTAGCTGGCCAAATACCCGACGAAAGCAATTTGTCGTAATAGCATTCCGGAACCTTTCTTCACAAGGAAAAAGCAAGAAATCTTATCTTTATCGATACCAGCGCACAGTGGTAAAAAAAATGGAATTTAATGTTCATAATTCACTGGAGCCTTCATTTCTCAACTAATTTGATTATTTTTTTTAATGAAAGCTTATAAAATTTGCAAGAGAATAGTTGAGCCCGATTTTTGATTTTTTATTTGTTATTATTCAATTTTTTAGTGCAAGGTGCAGAAAAGAGTCAATTTTGAAGATCGATTCTACATAATAAAAACTAGTTTAAAACAACTGTAGCGTTCCCCCAAAACGAAAAAAAAAATCACAAGAAAATTTTGAAATGTTTTAAAAAAAATTTCACCACAATAAAAGAAATTAGTTTTTTGAGTTCTTAGAAAAATGTTGGATATGCAGTTTTATAGACCATTAAATTTTAGTATAATAAAGTGCAAGTTTCAAGTGCCTAAGAGTTCGCGTTGATTTTTATTAATTTTTTTCCGCTAACATTTCAAGTACGTCTGCATGCTAAATGGGAATTACAAGCGTTCTCTTTGTCTCGTGTAATTTATATTCTTTCCGCTAGATGGTTTGGAGCTTTGCATATTGGTTCTTCTGTATGTGAAACATATGAGTTCATCTAAAATATCTTATAATACATAGTTCCGTTTCACCTGCAGGTTATTAATATAAGATATTAGTTGCGTTCGACAAGTCAAAAATTTGTAATAGTTTTTCCAAATTGTTACTAGTTTTCTAGAAGAAATGTTCCTGGCGAACATTGAACGTTCACTTTCCTTTTTTCTTCCATGGAGGCAATATGAATTTCAGTTTGTTTACAAATAAAACATAAACAAAGTCAGCTGGTGTGTCATCTTCTTCCGGTTTTTGCAAGTGATGGCTAATTTCCTGTTTGTTTACGTTTTTGCCTTTTCTTCTCTTTGGGAGAGAATTTTCGCTTACGCTCTTGATTTTGATTGTTGGCTGATGTTGGCTAATTTTGTTATCGAACGCAACTATTATTCAAGTTGTGAATTTAAATTTAGAACAGTACTTCTACAGTGCAGTTTCTGCAGTAGGTAATTTTTAGATAGTAAGCCTAAAAATGGATTCGCTTAAAATTTAAAGAAAGTGCTTTGTGAATTTTTTATGGAAAATGGCACAAATGATTTAGAAAGTCTGTTGAATGTTTTGCAAAAAAAGTATGACCTAAATGAAGATCAAATTGAGGTAATTAAAGGAAAATTGAATCTAATTTTCTTGCCAGTTTCCGCAAAAGGTGGATTCTACCGTATAATAACAGAATTCGATTTGAGGCTAAATTTCAACATTGGTTGGATTCTGAATTTGTAATTGATTTTTCTCAATCGGAAAAATCAGTAGGTAGAAGTTCTGATATGGTTTTTGAAAATGCCTCTACGTCTCCTAAAAGAAGAAAATTAATGGATAGAAGAAAGCTATTCAGCAGAAGAAATTCAAGAAGCATTTCTCAGAATCTTACGCCGTAGTGGTAGAAAACACATAGCTAACACTATTATCAACATGTTGAGCGAACCAGCTGATTATCTAGAAACTGTCCCAAAACCTTTTTCTGCAGAAGAAGCTCTAGCTTTAATGCAAGATATGAAGCTATCTAAATTTCAATATAATGTTCTGCATGTTGAGGCAAAAAAGAGAAATGCGGATATTTTTCCTATATATCCGTAAATTTTAGAAGCGAAAAAAGAATGTTACCCGGAACAGGTACATATTATAGAAACAGAAGCTCGCGCCAATCTCCAATCATATGTGAACCACTTGGTTGAACGCCTTTTAAAATCTCCAAGCATTGTTCACCCAACTGTAGACTCAAGAAAGAAACCAGTTAGTTTAGAGTTAGAAATTAAATACGGTTGTGATGGAGCTTCCGGCCAGGCAACTTTTAATCAAAAATTTTCGGATTCAAATTCATCAGACGAGTCTATTTTTACAATTTCGATGGTGCCGTTATGTCTAAAGACAACAAATACAAAAGAAATTCTCTGGATGAATCCTTATCCTGCATCTCCTAAGCGCTGCTTACCAATTCTTGTGATACATGCTTGCGAAGGAAACAACAGAAAGCAGCAAAGAGGAAATGGGAAATATTGCTGATCAGATAAAAAGATTGAAAGCAACAAATGTTACAACTTGCAATGAAACATATGCAGTAAACGTAAAATGAAGTTAACAATGGTTGACAGCAAGGTTTGTCATGCACTCACTGATACTCCAGCTAATACGAATTGCTACATTTGTGTTTCTAAACCAAGTGAAATGAATAATCTAACAAAAGTTATTGAAAAAGAAAAAAATACCACCTACCTTCTTTTTGGTCTTTCGGTTTTGCACGCTAAAATTCGGTTTATGGAATGCATTTTGCACATTGCCTACCGCTTAGATTTTTGTGAATGGAGAGCACAGTCAAAAGAAAAAAGGCTTTAACTGAAAATGCAAAAAAACGAATTTGTGCTGAATTCAAAGAAAAATTTGGGTTGATAATAGATCAACCAAAACCAGGAGCAGGAAACTCAAATACAGGAAATACCGCACGTCGATTTTTTGCAAATGCTAAAGAAACAGCGAAAATTACTGGGGTTAATGCAGAATTAATCAAAAGTTTGCTAAAATTTTACAAATGCTAGGAAGCAGTACACAAATTTCTTCTGAAATTTTCAAAAAATGTTGTCAAGAGGCAGCAAAACTATATGTTAATTTTTACCCGTGGTTTTATATGCCATCAACAGTGCACAAGATCCTGTTACATGGAGGTGAAGTCATGGAAGAGTTTCTTCTTCCAATTGGACAATGTTCGGAAGAGGCTGCTGAGGCTCGAAATAAAGTCGTTAAACGATATCGACAAGAAAACACTCGAAAACATAGCAGGTTAGCAACTATGACAGATTCAATGCATAAACTGTTTTAGTCATCTGATTTATATACTTCAGATTTAAGACGAGAATGAGAGAGAGAAGAAACAGAGCTTGATTCCGAAATTTTAAGTTTATTGGAAGAGTATGATTTAAAGCAATAGGAGAAGTACTTATTACTTAATTTGTTCAAATTGTAATACTTTAATACTTTTAAAAACAAACAAAAACACAGAATTAATAATAATATTAATTAATAATCTTCATATTATTTAACGTGCGATATTAACATATACATATATACATACATATGAATATGTACATACATATGTACATACGTAGGGTGTGCTCGAAATGTTAGCGGAAAAAAATTATTAAAAATCAACGCGAACTCTTATAGGGCTGCCAGACGTCCCGGTTTTCCCGGACATGCCCCGGTTTTAGACTATTTGTCCCGGTGTCCCGGTCCAACCTTAAAATGTCCCGGGTTTCGTTTTAGTGTCCCGGTTTTTGAGTTGATTGTACAAATTTGAATAAAAGTTAAAAAATCACTACACTAAGAGAAAAAACGCGTTTTAATATTCAGAAAAATGTTATGAATTCACTGAAGAAAATAACGCATAGTAAACATGAATATTTTCTGTTGGATTATCGTTTAAAAATGTTCGTAATTAAAAATAACACTGTCATAACACGCACGCGTGGTGTTGATTCAAACTCAACATTTAAATGCACATTTACATCTCTGGCTGTAGCTGAACGCGCGAAGATGCTTGCCACAATTTGCTAATTTCCAGAGTGTCAGGGTTCAATTCCCATTACAACCAGCATGGAATTTTAATATTTTTTTAACTTAATTATGAAAAAGCAATCTGTAACTGCAAATCGCTTCATTTTAATATGGGCGTATTTGAATTGAATATTTCTATACTAAATACTAAAATTTGTATACTTAAATGTATTACGAGTTGGGTTGGTGCTCTTTCATATGCGTATTTTTTTAATTTAGCACGCTTTTTTAATTCTAAACTTCTTTCTCTCAGTGCACCGGTTTAATTTGTGAAATAGTCACATTT